CCCCCCCCCCCCACACACACACACACACACACACACACACACACACTGACATAGCACTAAGCTAGCAGCGAGAAATACAGGTTCTCTAGCTAAAAAGCTAAAGGAAGCACTCATGTTGCCTCTTCCCTCATGCTAAACGCCCCCTGCCCCCACTCAAAAACTGTTAGTTCACGCTGCGCTTAGACAAGTGTCCGTCCCCCCATCAACAAAAATCATGGATGAGATGAGCACCCCGCCATGGCAAGTTAACTAGAGGAAACACTGATAATAATAATAATATTCAGGAGGAAGTCTTACGCTTTGCCTTAGTCCTGATCTTCTGGGTGGCGTTTTTCTTAGAAAGAGACTTGAGTTTCTTTTTGTTTTTCTGAAACTCCATAACTTTCTCCAGCAGCTTTGTAAAGTATTCCAAGTCCAGTTTACGCTTCTCTTCTAGAAAAAAAACAACAATAATAATCACCTGTCAATGTATCATCAAATTAAAGATTACGTCACGTTAAATGAACTTACTGAAAGCCTTGTCAATCCTCCAGGAATTTTCTCGCTCTTCCTTTTTGAATTTGTTCTGAAATTTTAAAAAAAGAAATTTAAAAATATTTTTTTTTGGTCACTTTGTTGTTGTCATGCTCTGCTAATACAAGTGTATTTTTAGAAATCATTTACCTTTATCTCTAATCGAGCTCTGTGTGGAAACAGCTGACAAATCATGGAAAAGTCTGTTCCTACCATGCTAACTGCCAGGAAGAACATGTCTGTCTCTGATTAAAAAAAAAAAAAAGGCATAAATGTAAGCACTAAAGTTACAGTGTCATATTTTTTGTTATAAAGTGCATGTTAATTATTTTTTATAAGATTTACCTTCTATAGACCAGGGTTTTGCGTAATGTGCCTTCTTGAAACTCGAGTAAGTTGTGGTGGAGCCCCGTTCAAAGATGGGTTCTCGGTCCTGTGCAGGATTTGGTCCTTTGGCTCGCTGGACTTCTACCGTTAGGCTGAAATGCAGGTTCACTCAATATGTTCAAGTCAAAGAAAGTCCTCATCTCAAAACCATTAAACTTAAAATGCCACATCACCTGCCGCCTTATGCATCAGAATTTTAAAAGGTATTTATAACAAAGTAAAAAAGCTTATCCATAAATGTGTTTGAAATAGTTTACTTTGGTAGTTTGGTGGTCCACTACAAAACTACTAGAAACTTAGGTTGGTTGTATTTTGTGTAGGTAAACAAATACAAGCAGTAATAAATGCAGAGAGTGGTGAAGGCTGCACAGAAATCTGTTGGAATCAGTCTCCCCACCATCACAGACATCTACACCTCCAGATGCAGGAAGAGGGCCACCTGCATCATGAAGGACCCTACCCACCCAGCACACACACTTTTTGCCCCACTCCCCTCAGGAAGGAGGTTAAGGAGCATTAAGTGTAGAACCACTAGACTGAGGAACAGCTTCTACCCTGAGGCTGTTAGACTCATGAATCTCTAACTAGAATAATCACTGTGAAAAACCATATCATGTTGCTGCTGATCTGTTTCATGTTGCTGCTGATCTGTTTCAATGTTGATGTGTTCATGCGTGCACATCCGCTCACACAGACTCTTGTTCACGTTTGTGCTGATGTTCAATGTTTTATGTTATGAGTGCTTAGTGTATATTTAGTTGATGTTTTTCTTAGTTCATATCTTAGATGTCATTACTGTTTTTCTTATACATTTTATTGTTGGATGTAACTGGGACCCTGTGTACATAATTTCGCTCCACCACATGTACCACATGAGGTGCGAATGACAATAAAGAAACTCTGACTCTGATTAAATGGATGTAGTTTGAAATAGTTTACTTTGGTAGTTTGGTGGTCCACTACAAAACTACTAGAAACTTAGGTTGGTTGTATTTTGTGTAGGTAAACAAATACAAGCAGTAAATTTACAATTTGGTCTGTTTTTCATCACTTCACCTGTTTCCATAGGTAAACAAAGGCTTGTAGCTTGCATCAGGTCATAAATTATTCACACAATTTTTAATTTAGGAGCACATCAACAAACCTTATCAGAAAAATGTGCAATCATGTTTATGAATGCATTTGTCTGGTCTTCATGACTTTGCAAGGACACATTTAAATTAAGATTATTTATTGTTAACAGTGTTTAAGCCATTTTGGTGTAAGCTTACAAAAAATCTAGTGCAAGATGTCAATTGATTGTTAACTCTGGAAGTATGTGTCATGTGTGACTAAGCTACTAACCATGAAAAGCTTTTGTTCAATATCTCTCAATTTTACAGAAACGTAGGCACTTGTGGTTTTTTTAATGTCGGTTTGATGTAACAGGCATCTTGCACTGGACTGACCCCTAAAGTTAATCAGTTGTAGATTACTAGATTATTCAAGAGACTCATTAAAATCGTTCCAGGGGTTCAGAAAATATTTTGCTACTGCAACAAGCACGCACATGGAGACACATGCATGCACGTGCACGCACATATACACAGAAACATCACTGCCTGTTTTTTAGTGGTGGGTGAAAATAAAATGTTCAATGAAAATGAAAGTGCTGCTGACCTTTCTTCATCAATGATCAGGGAGCCATCTTCTGCCACTTTAACCTGAGGAACCATCAAGGCTTCATCCTGCTCTTCCTCAGTCGCAGCATCTCCCCCCTCTTCCTCCTCCCTTAAAGTTGTTGGATCAGGAAGGACTCCGGCTTGCTGTGCCCTCTCTGGAGACCTTACACATCAAATTAATGATACGACACACAAAAGTGCATTGATGTGAAAAAATCATTTGGTAAACTTTTAAAATGATTTAAAAAGGTATCACATTTTCAGGCTGTCCTGTCATTAAATCTTATTTACTTTGTTTACATAACTCACATTTTTATTTTATTTTTTAAATACTACAAAAAAGTACTACAAGGACTACAAAAAAATAGGTTGTGGATTAAGCGCCATGGATCGAGTCGTGAGTCAGCTGTGTTTTTTTTGGGGGGGGGCAGTTGTGGCTGAGTGGTTAGAGCAGTCATCCTCCAATGGGAGAGTTGGGGGTTCAATTCCACCAGCAGTCACATGTTGAAGTGTCCCTGGGTAAAGACACTGAACCCCTCGTTGCCTCCGATGTGTATCCCATCGGTGTATGAATGTGATAAAGCTCTGATTAATCTTTGTAGAGATCTAGTATAGAGCTGTATGAATGAGGCACAGATTGTGTTGTAAAGAGCTTTGAGTGTCTTAATAAGATAAAAGTTGCTATACGAGTACAGTCCATTTACCACTTAAAAAAGTACACGTCCACTGATGCTTAATTGACAAGATTTAAATAAATAACTTAATAAAAGCATTGAGACCCATAACATGAGGTCCATGAACTTGTGCGTCAACTGTTTAAAAGATATTTAACTCAAGTTTCAGCTGACTTGTCCAGTGTTGCTTTAGTTCATTTTATTTATGTTTTTAAAAAATTGTTTAAATACTAAATCTAAATTTAAATGCTGATGGTTCCCGTCACTGAGGGATTTGAATTGTGAATCTTTGTGGGTTTTAAGACGAGTGATTTTCTGAACTGGAATCGAAAAAGGCAATGAAAGAAAACCGTCAAGTTTTTGGTGCAAGTTATTCCAATGGGCCGGTGTTACGTTGTGTAGAAGAACAGACGGAGGTTTCTTTGGCTTGTCTGAGGCAGCACAGAGTAACGGATCAGGGAGAATGGAGGGAACCATTTTATCCACCACCAGACATACGGTAGTCCCTCGCTACTTCGCAATTAGAGTTTCGCTGACTCGCTCTATCGCGGTTTGTGGACGTACAGTACTGTACATGATATTTTCAAAACATAAATAAATAAAAATGTGCTGCCATTTTTTTTCCCATTAAGCCTTCACTGTTTTGTCAGTCTAAAGAACTATGTTACCCAGAAGCCATCAGTTCTCTTCCCAGAAGTCAACACCGCTTCCAAACGCTGCTTTCTGCAAACGGAGGGAATGTTTTGTAGCAAAGTCAGAAGTTCTGGAAAGATCAGCTCACAGGACTGTCAGGAAGGTCACAAGTAATTCTGGAGCTGAACTCATCCTTCTAGTTGTATCTTCACTGATGAGCAGCTGGGCTGCAGCTGATCTGGACTCAGTGTGACCCGGAACCTGGGAGCTGCAGGGGACAGACGGCTCTGGGGTTCAGCCTGGTTCTGGTCACGTGATGCTGGTCCGGACCAGGCCAGAGGTGGTGGACTAAATCCTGGGCAGCCTTGCTCCTGGAGCAGCAGCACGCGCATACATCAAGCTGGTTGGGGCTACATCATGCTGCACCGGGACTTTTTGAATCTATCGGGTCAGATGGAACCGAGCCGCTGTTGTTCTGCAGAGCCTGGTAAGTAAATTTTAGTAGCTAAATATGTTGTAAAAATTAGTAGGTTTAAGAGTTTAGAGGACTGATTTGTGGGCTTCATCACTGCAGGGTAGTCTGCGAAACGAACCGGGTCGGAATAGAACAGAGTTGGACCAGAACCAGAGCTGTTCCTGTTCTGCAGAGCTAGTAAGTCAAATTTAGTAACGTATGTTATTAAAATGATGAAGGTTTAAGAGTTTAGAACGTTGCAAGTGTGGGGTTTCTAAAGCCTTAATATATATACCTGTATATATATATATATATATATATACTAAAATAAATTACTACTTAAAACTACTACAGTAAATACTAAAATAAATTACTACTTAATACTACTACAGTAAACTACTACTACTACTACTTACTACTACTTATTATTACTACCACCACTTACTACTACTTACCACCACCACTACCACTACTACTAGTACTACTACTAATAGTACTACTACTACTACTTGTGTACATAATTTTGTTCCATCTCATGTACCACATGAGATGGTAATGACAAAGTTTACTTGAACTTGAACTACTGTATCCCTACTTCGTGGTTTTTCACTCATCGCGGGGGGGCAGGGTAAGAAACCCTTGCAATAAATGAGGGACTACTGTAATAGCGAAGCCCGGGTGTGGCCAATGGTGGCCTTGGCTACCAATTAAACTTTGACTGCTCTAATCTTTGAGTAATCTAAAGAGTAAACTTTATTTTTAAGAAATATAAAAAGTAGAGAGCAAAGTTGCCTCAGATGATTGGGATGGCCCGTTTACACGTGCACACACTTGCACACCCACATATGGAGGTGGTCATCTTGGATTTTGTCGTGGCAACCCAATTTTCAATGGCAACCTGCCTAGATGAAGTTACACACCAGCATAGAAGAAAATAACTTGCTTATTATTCAAGGCGTCCAGCTCACAAGATAAGACAGACATACGGGGGCAGCCCAGGCCTCTCTTGCAAAAAGATCTGGAATCTCAGTAAAATTAGCCTGGTTAAATAAAGGTTAATAAATGTATTTTGACGTGGCAACCCAATTTTTGATAGAAATTCAGCCACACACCAAAACAGAATCTGTAGCTCATTTCTTTCCCCTCAAGTTATCCAGCTCATTTCCAAGTCCCCTCTTCGATCCTCGATGGTGGACAATTAACTTTGATAAAGACGTTCAGCATAAAAAAACATACAACATACTTTTCTCTCCTCGGTGAAGGTGGGATCACAGTTTCATCTTCTTGAGCAACGCCTTCTAAATTAGACCTGGAAAAAAAAACATTTCTTAATAATTATTCCAAAACACTCTGAATGTGAGATAAAAAATGTCTTAAGCTTGACCAAAGTGCAGGATGCTTCTTACATCATGGGGTTAGACAAAGGGAGATAATGGATGAGGTCTCTCATTGTCATTTTGGTGGGATCTAAAGTAAATTCCTTTTGACGAGTTTTTGCTTTCTTGAATTTCTGCAACATAAAATTGTAAAATTTCTGCAATTTCTATTCAGATAACACGATAAACTCACATTTCTTGCAAAATGAAGATGAATTAATTCAAGCTAACCTTTTCTTTGAATCGCTCATGCCTCAGTAACTCTCTGAGCTTCTGGGCTTTCATCAGTCTTTGTACATCTGACGGGTCATTCAGAAGTCGGCTCAAGGAGAGAGCTGATGGAGTCATTGACACCACATGTTTGGATGATATCAGAGTCTTGGCTTTTTCTGACATCTCTGTAGCTTCTTTATCTGGTAGAGATGGTGGTACTTTCTCTGGCAGTCTGGGAGAAACTTCTTTAACCTGACAGCCTGATGGGTTTTCTGCTTGTTTGCTGCCAGCTGTTGGCAGATGGGTTTGTTCTGATGAGTCTTTAGGTGAAGAAATGGTCACAGTTCCTGACGTTTCAGAAGATACAGGCGGATGGTGTACGGACTGGACTTTGAGCTGCTTGCCATCTTCATAGAGTCTTCGTCGTCTTGGGGACTGGAGTCCTCGAGGAGCTGTGGCTGTTGCAGCTTTGCTGGAAGTTGATGGCTTCTCAGTGTCTGAGCCAGAAACATCAGCAGGAGTTGCACAGGCAGCTTTGACAGGAGACTTTGGTGTACGAGTGAGAGCAGGGGGGCGGCCAGGGGTCACTTTGGGCTTAATGGAAAACCGCTTCCTTCTCTGGACTGATGCCGAGGAGCTTGTTCCTTCCCCATTCTGTTCATTTCCATCTCTACACAATTACAAAAAGTTTTAGATTTTTACAAAACAAAAACAGCAATGATTGGGGTGTAGCAATATCCTCACATCTTAAAATAAGACAAGGACAATATTTAAAAGAAACTTCAAAGATTAAATATATGCCGAAACAAAATCTCAACTTCTTGGATTTTTTGCTACAAAATCAACTCGCCCGATTTTCCATACGTTTTTTTTTTCCAGACCTTAGAACGATGCCTTTACTATCACTGTTCAACTTAAAGCTGTCAGACGTACTGAGTGGAAATATTCAAACATAAATACGAGCCTTTTTCAACTTGCAGTATTGTAGTTAAGTTGACTCAGCTAAATATTGCTTTGCATGATAGTTTTAATTTCAACATGAACTCTTGTGACATTTTAATATTGTGAGATCTTGTTACACCCCTAGTAGTAAAGTTTTTAAAATATGTTGCAACAAATCTGCCACTCACCCTGAAGCTGTGATGTTTTCTGACGGTGTCCCGTTGGATTTATCGATCACAGCTGCAGCACCATCCCCTGCTTCTTTAGGCTTCTCGCTAACCTCGTGATTAGCTGCTGCTGGAGGTTCCTGAGATGTTCCAGCTGTCGTTCTGCCCACAGTACTGACATTAGGGCGAACACTAAATCTGGACCGGCGAAACATCTTGACCTGAAAATAAAAATGTAAAGCTAGATTTGAATATGAACTGGCAACACGACAACCAGCTGAAAATAAAACGTTGCTTTGTCCATCTGAACATTGGGAGACACAGCCAGTTGCCAACAGAATGCATGTGTCATGTAATCCTTACTTATATGAACCAACTAGCCACAAACTAGGCAAATGAGAATTTAGGCCAAGTTATTGCTTGTGTTTTCTAAAGTTATTTTATGTCAATGGTGGTGAGGACTGATTTTAAAAATATAGGTTGTGAAGTCAGGCAGCACGGTGGCGCAACTGGTAGAGCTGCTGCCTCTCAGCGAACAGGTCCCTGGTTCAAACCCCGGTCCAGGTGCCTTCTGGGTGGAGTTTGCATGTTCTCTCCGTGCATGCGTGGGTTTTCTCCGGGTACTCCGGTTTCCTCCCACAGACCAAAAACATGCATGTTAGGCTGATTGGTAACTCTAAATTGTCCCTAGGTGTGAGTGAAAGTGTGAATGGTTGTTTGTCTCGTTTGTCTCTATGTGGCCCTGTGATGGACTTGCGACCTGTCCAGGGTGTACACCGCCTCTCGCACAGTGATTGCTGGACATGGGCACCGGCGACCCCCGTGACCCAAAATGGAATAAACGGGTAAAGATAATGGATGGATGGATGGAGGTTGTGAAGTCTATGTTAAAACCCCACAGTGGTCTTTGCATTGCAGGAACATAGGTCCTGACATATGCTGGTGAAGATTCTCAGTCATCCAGGTCATGGTAAATCCAAAAACGCTCACAGCAAAAACAAGTGGACTTTATTTGTAACAGAAGACGTTTCGCTTCTCATCCGAGGAGCTTTCTCAATTAAAAGAGCAGAGAGTGAGTGAGGGGTTCAGGTTATAAGGCTGAGTGAGATAAGACACACATACATATGTAGATTGGCAAATCTACATATGTATGTGTGTCTTATCTCAGCTTCATAACCTGAACCCCTCACTCACTCACTGCTCTTTGAATTGAGAAAGCTCCTCGGAGATATATATATATATACACAGTTGGAGGTTCAATTCCTCCAGCAGTCACATGCTGAAGTGTCCCCGGGCAAGACACTGAAACCCCTCATTGCCTCCGATATGTCCCATTGATGCATGAATGTGAAAGCACTGACTATTCTTTATATAGATCTAGTAAAGTACTGTATGAATGGGTAAATGAGGCACAGATTGTTGTAAAGAGCTTTGAGTATCTTAATAAAATATAAAGGTGCTATAGGAGAACAGTCCTTTTACCATTTACCTTCTGGTTGACCACATAAGTTCTTCCCACTTAAGAGCCCGGTTTGACTTTGTGTCAACGCAGTATGGTAGAAATTTTTAAGGGATGATACATTTCACTCACCCTCATGTAGCTATGCTCCAATGACACCTTAACACCTTTGTTAGCAGTAACGGTCACAAATGTGTTGAAATGATAAAGAAACAAATGACAGCACTAACTTATTTACTTCATATTTACTTTGATCAATGACAAAAAAAGCAGACATGACTTTTGTTTCTTTGCTGTTTGGGTCTTGTTGCTGCATGAACATGTTAAAGTCAAATGATGAAATAAATTTGAAGTTTTTGTCAAACTACAAAGATACGTCGCCATTCTAAAAAAAGTTATTACAAATGTCAGTACCAACAGTTGAGCTAAGTACTTCATTACCCTTGTCACAGACAAAAATGTCTCCATCGTGAGAGCTACAGTAAAGTGTTAACTGTCCAAACTCGGCGTAAATACAGCTTGGCTTTATGCATTTTTCCTAGCACTATTGCTATTTATTTGTTTATAATACAGGATTTTATGAGTCTTTATGTCTTACTGCCATAAAAAGAGCAAGTTTAATAAAGAAAATGTCTTAATCATGTAGTACATTTCACAGTATCATGTTCACATCCCATGACCATCCCATCATGCCAACACGGGTGTTATTTTGCCAGAAAGGGAATATCCACTGCTGAAGATATTGAATCTCAAGGCCGAGCAGTTAATCCCCTCATGTCTTCATCCACTTCTGGAAGAGACATTTACACTGCCTGGCCAGAAACAAAGTCACCATGAGAAAAAAAAAAAAAACCATCACACACTAATATTTAGTTGGACCGCCTTTAGCTTTGATTACATCATGCATTCGCTGTGGCATTGTTTCAATAAACTTCTGCAACGTCACAAGATCTATTTCCGTCCAGTGTTGCATTAATTTTTCACCAAGATCTTGCATTGATGACTAGACACTAGACATGATGGGTGCATCACTTCACCTGCCTCTTCTTACCCTGATGCACCCGTCACTCTGGAACAGGGTAAATCTGGACTCATCAGACCACATGACCTTCTTCCATTGCTCCACAGTCCAATCTTTATGTTCCCTAGCAAACTGAAGCCTTTTTTCCAGTTAGCCTCACTGGTTAGTGGTTTTCTTAAGGCTTCCCAGCTGTTCAGTCCCAGTCCCTTGAGTTTCTTCACATTGTGCGTGTGGAAATGCTCTTACTTTCACTATTAACCATAGCCCTGAGTGCTGCTGTTGTTTTTCTTCAATCTGATTTCACAAAACGTTTAAGTGATCACTGATCACGATCAATGAGGATTTTTTTTGGCCACATTTCTTCCTCGAAGACGATGGGTCCCCACTATCCTTCCAGTTTTTAATAATGCGTTGGGACAGTTCTTAACCCAGTTTTAGTAGTTTCTGCAATCTCCTTAGATGTTTTCTCTGCTTGATGCCAATGATTTGACCCTTCTCAAACAGACTGACATCTTTTCCACGACCACGCCACGTGTCTGACATGGTTAAGAAATGACAAGCAACTCATTGCACCAGTTGGGATTAAATAACTTGTTGCAGATTAAAGATAATCGCCCATGCAGTAATTATCCAATACGAGGCTCATACATATTTGTTTAGTTAAATCCAGGTGGTGACTTTTTATTTGGCCAGGTAGTGTATTTAATCATACTCTCACATGCTCTGCTGCACCTACGTCACCATTATTGACAGTCATCGATTGATGTCGTCTCAGGGGTCACATTTAGTCCATCTGCAGTGGCTCTGTCAAGCTTTGACTAACTCAAAACTGAATTGTATTGTTTGTTATACAAACAAAAAAATAAAGCTGGTTTTAGCAGTTTTCTCGTTTCAGTTTTCCGTGATTTCTTTTGCAAATATGTCATTACTAAAACTAATAAAAGGAGTAATATACTAATTTTAACTTCATGCTTTACAATGTAGCTGTTTTTGTTTCGTTTTTACATAATTTCTTCTATTTACTTTTCATTTTATATGATTTTTTTTTGTACCTCAGATGTGTTGTTTGTTTAAAAAGGTCTCTTGTAAATGAGTCCTCGATGCTCAATGAGACTAACCTGTATAAAGGTTGAATGAACATAATTTCGTTTTTTCTAAACACACACCTGCTAAATAAAACATTAATTATTTTTGCAATTTCAACAAGTTACCACAACGTAGTTTAATAGTAATTCACTGCCTTGCAAAGCTCAGATGTATCGATCAAAGTCACGGTGAGGATGTCAGCTGTCTGTGTGTAAAACACACAGCGAGTGAGCATGGACGTTAAATAAACCACCACACCTTCATTAAAAGACTAGGCGACAACACAAAAACAAACCTTAGGCTAAAGCTAACAACACTGAGTCAGTCTCTACCGGTGTTAGAGCCGCATTACGGATGTTTAGAAGTTCACTCAGATACGATCATTTACTTAATGAACACGAGTAAAATTATTTTAACAGCATACCTGTTTGAGACAATGTTGCTTAGTCAAGTAAACAAGTTAGCAAGCATCGAAAAATCAAAAGAGGTAGCGGACCTCATAAGCACCAGCACACTAAACCGCCATGTTTGTTAATGACGCAAGCGATTCTGGGTGAAAGGACTTGTGGGAAATGAAGTCTGACTGGTGGCACTAAGCAGCACACAAATCCGTGATTCTACTGTTTGTGAGAGCATCACAATGAAAATGCACTTGTATTAATAATATTTTAGAACATTTAATGCAAAAGAGACATAATATATATATATATTTTTTTACATATTCATTTACTGGAGGTTGTACTTATTTTAAAACAAAAATGTATAAATATATATCCTGATGCATGCTCAATAATCCAGGTAGAAAAATCTAAAAAAGTTCAATCTGGTCCTCTGGACATTCCAAAAACAAAACAAAGCAAAACAAAATAAAAATTAGAAACGTTTCGTTTTTCATCCGAAAGACTTCCTCAGTCTGAGGTGCTGTATTCAGCTCAGTCTCTTAAATAGCACCTTCTCAGAGTGGATCAACCAGTTTGGTGCTGACAACCAAAACCAGCTGATCACATGCTCAAGAAGGACCATCAGCCTAACAATGGATCATTAGCACACTGATGGCTGTTTACTATTCACAGAGGGCTGAGTGATACTAGCAATAACAGCATTGTAAGAGGGGGACAGTTGAACCCGGAGGCCTCCACCCCTGTTTAACGATGGACGATTTCTTTTCACAAAGATGGCCTCCTTTACTCCTCTCTCAAACCATCGTTCCTCTCTGTCCAGGATGTGAACATCTTCATCCCTGAAAGAGTGACCGCTGGCCTGGAGATGAGTGTAGACCGCAGAGTCCTGGCCTGATGATGTTGATCTTCTGTGCTGGACCATCCTTTTGGCCAGTGGCTGTTTAGTTTCCCCGATGTAAGACTGATCACAGCCCTCCTGACACTGAACTACATACACAACATTACTCTGTTTGTGCCGGGGGACTGGATCTTTGGGATGAACCAGTCTTTGCCGTAATGTATTTTGGGGTTTAAAAGCCACTGGGACGTTATGTTTAGAAAATAAACGTCTCAGTTTCTCTGATACTCCCTCAACATACTGAATGACCACTGGTCTGGGTCTGGGTTCCTCCTTTTCACCTGATGGCTGACTGGAGTCCTGTTTGGGTTTCTTCTCTGCTTTCAGGAAGGCCCAGTTAGGATATCCACATTGCTCTAGAGCCTGTTTTGTGTGGGATCTCTCCTTCTGCCTGGCTCCTGAGTTAGTGGGGATGCTGTCTGCTCTGTGGTACAGAGTCCTGATGACTCCTAACTTGTGCTCCAAAGGGTGATGGGAGTCAAACTGCAAATACTGGTCTGTGTGGGTGGGTGGCTTTGTTTTTTTTTGTTTTTTTTGAATGTCCAGAGGACCAGATTTAACTTTTTTAGATATTGTTTTTATGTTATTAGTGCAGTGTATTATTTAGTAAACATTTTTCTTAGTTCAGATCCAGGACATCCTTGTAAATGAGATTGATGATCGCAATGGATTTATTCCTGGTAAAATAAAGTAATAAAAATAAAATCTTAGATCCAGGGCGTCAGAAGCATCTGTAATGTGTGTGTGTGTGTGTGTGTGTGGGGGGGGGGGGGGGGGTGCATGTGTCTGTGCACGCGCACAGACACGATGGATCATTAGCACACTGATAGAAATAGCAAACAGCCATCAGTGTGCAAATGATCCATCGTTAGGCTGATGGTCCTTCTTGAGCATGTGAGCAGTTGGTTTTGGTTGTCAACAGCAAACTGGTTGATCCACTGTGAGAGGGTGCTATTTATAAGAATGAGCTGAATACAGCACCTCAGACTGAAGAAGTCTTTCAGATGAAAGAAGAAATGTTTCTACAATTTTTTTGTTTTGTTTTGTTTTTTGGAATGTCCAGAGGACCAGATTTAACTTTTTTAGATCAATCTTCAATAGTTGTATGGGAATCCCTTTACCTTAATCACTGCCTCGATGTGATGTGGCATTGAGGCAATCAGCCTGTGGCATTGACTGGGAGTTATGGAAGTCCAGATTTCCTTGATGCTTGCAGTCAGGTCTTCTTTGTTGTTGGGTCTGGTGCCCTTCATTTTCTTCTTGAGAATATTCCATAAATTCTCAATGGGTTTTAGGTCCGGCGAGTTGGCTGGCCAGTCAAGTGTAGAGATATACCTGCGTCCCTGAATGTCATTTTGTAACAGACCTTTTATTTCTGTGACTGAGCAGTTCATTCTGTAAAGATGTTTCTGAAATAGAAAAAAAACTCTTCATCCTTTGAACAACTGAGACATCCCACCCCACCCCCACTTGAGAACCTGGGACAGTTTAAAGTTTGTTTTCAGCATTTCTAACTCGGGAACGTGTCAAAAGAAAACTTTTATGGTTGGTAAGACAACCCAAGGATCCATAAATCTGAATAATATTGGAACACCCTTTCTGTGAACCCCACAAAATGGACGTTTGAGTTAACACAGATCACTTCAGGATGCCCTGGTATTCACTTGTACCAGCCTCCCTCGGACTATCCCCTCAACAATCATAAATAACAGAGAGCTTCTCCTTTGTTCAAAGGAATTCCAACTTCGACACTTAAGGCCCCATTTCTAGCATGCAAGAAAACGGACAGACTTTTTATTCACGTTTTAGAAGAAGTAATACTGTTTTTGCAATGAAATAAGTGTTTAATTGGGTGTAGCTGAATAACTGCCTTGTCGTTCCCTTACAGCTGACAATAACCTGTGTAGGTCAAAAGTTTACAAACTTGTTTTCTGTTTATAAGGTTGACAAAGTGTTTGTATTGTTTAACCTCATTTAAAGTTGATAAGTGTCTTAAATGATTTTATTTGATGGCTTTTTCAACAGAGCAGATTAAAATAATACTTTACTGAGTAGATAAAAGTTCAGCCCTTTCCTTTTGATTGGTTCAAATCTACCACCTCTTTCAAATCAGAGGTGGGGTCATTTTGTTTAGGAGAGGAAGACCTCTCAGGACAGGTAGAAGAAACAGACAGGAGAGAGGAGAAGAGAATTGATATTGAAGTGATGAACCCCTCCGAAGGAGGAGATACAAGCTCCAAGACCCAACCTTCAGAAGACTTCCAAGGAGAAAATTAGCTTCAACTTTGGGCAAAGTTTGATAGAATCCTTTTCAGCGATCAAAGCACCTGCAGTTTTCACCACAGAGTTAACATCAGCTGTCCAGGATTCCAAGGAACGCTCCAGACTGACCTTTCGAGTCAGTGGACCAACTCATCGTGCTGAGGTCAGAGATGTGGAGTATTACAACTTTACATCAGCAGACCATCTGAGCAGAAAGAGTCAAATCTCTGGTATCTTCTGGCAGCCTTTGAAGACGAATCCTGGTAGGAAAAAGCTGAGCTGTACTCTGACGGTTGACTCTGGTGTTCAAGAAATTAGCCTTTTAACCAAATTAGTTAACTCAGTTCAGTAATTATTTTTCTTTAAATTTCAGACCAAATTTTAAATAGTGAACGATAAAACGTATTTCTTTTAGTAAAATTTCATAATTAATCTGCCCTGATGAAATAACAAAATTGTCCCACTTTGCATCTTATTTCTGGTTTGATTAAGCATATAGAATAATTCCATTGATCTGTTAATCCATGCTAACCAGTAATTTTGACGGTCATTTAATTTCTTCTAACCACAGCTGTGAACAAAGCCTTCATTTAAGTGTCAGAAATAATTTCCAACAGTTGTTTTATCAGGTATATTCAAATAAACATCACAAAATTGTATTAAAGCGTGTGTTTTACTTATGACATCTGAATCCTTCATATAAAAGAACTCACGGTGTAAAAGGGTAATTCGAGGTAATTAAATAACAATCTGAATTGATTTTCAGACCTTCAGAGTTTCTCTCAGAGCTGAGAGTGGTGCCCCTTCAAAATAAAATTCATAACGAATTTTAACTATTAAATAACCCTTACTGCTACACAAGCACTGTGGCATGGGCATCAAACCAGGTTTTGGTGCTTCTGGCAGCATGGGCAGGAGCCAGGTCCTGCTGGAAGATGAAATCTGCATCTCCATACAGATCATCAGCAGAAGGAATCATGAAGTCCTCTAAAACATTATGGTAGACAGTTGCAGTGACAATGGATTTAAGAAAGCAGAGTTTACCAATACCGGCACTGGAAGTTGCACCCCAAATCATGACTGACTGTGGATATTTCACACTGGACCTCAACCAGTATGGGTTCTGTTCCTGACCCTTATTCCTCCAAAAACTTAGACCTTGATTTCTGAATGAAAGGCACACTTTACTTTCATCGGAAAAGAGTTGGCTCAGGTTCAGAAGTGACTTGACCCGAGGAACCTGACAGTTGTAGCCCATCTCCCAGATGCATTTGAACATGGTGGTTTTTGAAGCTATGACTCCCGCCTCATTCTACCCTTTCTGGATCTCTGCCAGATTCTGGAATCTTCTCTGTTTGATAAGCCGCTGAAGCCCACGGTCATCTCTTTTGCTGGTGCATCTTCTCCTGACACATTTTGCCCTTCCACTAGACTTTCCATTGATTTGCTTGGACATAGCACTCTGTGAACAGCCAGCCTCCTTAGCTATGAACTTTTGTGGCTTACCCATCCTATGGAGGGTATCAGTGATGGTCTTCTGGCCAGTTATGTTTGCAGTCTTCCCCATATTGAACTGAACTGAGACAATTGAACTAAACTGAAGCAATTTAATAACACCTGGGGAAACCTGTGCCTGTCTCCAGACTCCCATTCACCTCTAAACTACTGGAAAAAATTGTGGAGTCTCAGTTGAAACAGTTTTTGGAGGATCACGCTATCCTTGAGTTATTCCAATCTGGCTTCAAATCTCTCCATAGCACTGAAACTGCTCTACTGAAGGTTTTTAATGACATTTTCATATCCACAGACGCAGGTGATTCTGTGCTGCTTGTCCTATTGGACCTTACATCTGCTTTTGACACCATCGACCACAATATCCTCATTTCTAGACTGCAGCAGTGGGTGGGCATCACAGGGTCAGCCCTTAAATGGTTTGGGTCCTACCTCTCTGACAGAACCTTCTGTGTCAATA